TCCCTATAGTTCTCTTGATTTGTTAAAGTATTTAGGCTATATTGATGATTTTGTGCCGATAATCATGTGCTGATGATCCTGCGTTGATGATACTGTATATTCATATTAAAATTTTAACAGTATTGAATAATGTTTATTTATTTATTTTACTTTAATAAATAAATAAATATTAATTGGTTTATTCTTTACAGTGATACTACTTTGTGAACTGGTAAAAAATCTAGTAAAATAAGATAATAATAATAATAATAAGTAATAAGTGTCTTGAATAGAACTATTCGAATATATTAAATTGATTCTATTTCCTTATATACCTAATAATATTTATAGTAAAAGTATTTTTCCGTAGTTTTTGTCACCTACCACATTTTACAAATAAGTTTGTATGTGAAAAGTGATGCATAAAACGGAAATCTGAAAGAATAGAGAGATTTGGTGTTGGATTTAGAGCGGAAAGACAGGCTCTAACTGACGGAATACTGAATAGAAGTACCGGAACTAAGCCGATTTTGGGGGTACCTGCTTCCTTGCGAACGTTTTGTGTATTCACTAGCTTCGTCGCTTACCTTAATACAAGGAGATAGCATGTTTATTGGAAATTTCACAATGAATGTTCGATTCGACTACAGGTTTAGAAAAATAATTATATTTTTTTGTTTAGTTACTTAATTTAATATTTTAATGTCTTAATTATGAATAACTAGTTACTAATTGCGACTTCGTTCGTATGACCGGGGTATGTTAATTGAACAGGGTAAATAGTAGCCCATGTCCTACTCTATTTCAAGTAGTACGTATACATAAAATTTCATGAATATTGGTGCAACCATTAAGGCGTCATTTGTGTGTTTATTACTTTTTAGGTAACAAATAAACAAACTCACTTTTACATTTATAAGAACAAGTAAGGATTCATTAACTTTATAAAACGTGAAAAGTGTTATCAAATAATATTACTTAAAATAAAAGATGTTCTACTACTGAGATGTACTTTTAACCACACTATTAATTACTTTATCCCACGGTTGCTTTGAACAGATCTCTAATAAGAGGTAAGGCTTGACGAATTCACCAGAAACCACTATGGTTACTAGAGAGATTGTGCGGAGATCGACCTCAGAGTGTATTGCTATTAATGAGGTCGCTAGTCCCTGTTACTATTTGCGTCTATTGTTAGAGTAGATTAAATAATTTTGTATTAATACTACAACAAACTACTATAGATAAATAGAGTAATATAATGTAGTCGTATGAGTACGAGTGTTTATCAGGTTTGTGCCACTTTATGCGTTTGTGGCTAAAAGTATTTAATGATTACAATGGTAAATCATTTTAAAGAGCAAAAAAAGAGGTTTATAATTTAAAAACAACAAGACAACGTACAAAATGGATTAATTTTAATTATATATTACACCAGATAAAATATTCTATCTCTGAAGATAAACAATACACATATAAAATTCAGTAAATGAATATGTAAATAGGTATTTTGTTGATTATATTGCGGTTTTGTAATTAGTTATATTTTTTTATTATTAAATTTATTTTATTATTGAACTAACAACCATTAATAGATAAGTAATAAGACTACAAATAAAAATCAAATATTATAGTAAATATGTATTGGATTTTGATAAGTTAATTATTTCTATTTTCCTATTTTAATAATTTTTATGTTTTGCACGCCTACATTATGGCAGAATAACAAGAAAATTATAGTGTTTTTTTTTTTTTTATCAGATGTAACATCTATAAAATGTAATTTATTTGAGCCAATAAATGAATAACCTTTTCCATAAATATTTATTTTAGTCTTTGGTTAATACAACAATTATTTAAGCTGATGGGATAGGTGGTAGATAAATTATCTTTTAATAACTAATTAGGTTTGATTATAATGGAATAAAATGTAAATAGTTAAAGATAAAAAAATTCCTTAAGATCACTGCCAGCTGGTAAGGCACCTAGGAGACTTGCTGCATTTCCACGCTGAATAGCTATGGAAATGCGTTGACCAAAGTATAGGTCAGCCTTCTGGTCGCCAGAGGTTTCTACCAGCCGGCGTGAAATCTCTTTGAAAAGATTCAATGAATTATATTCTAAGGAGATTAGATCGTCAAATACATTTTTTTTTTATATCAAGAAGGTAAGAAAATCTAAACAGTATTAATGATATTCACGAGATCTTATACGAGAAGATACGGGAACAGGCAGTTTCAATAAATTGAATATTATGTACGGATGCTATTCTGTACGTTCGCAATAAAATAGATCGTCGCATCGTTCGTATAGTGCAGAGTGCAGGCAATATGGCGGGGGCGCTTCAAATACAATTATGAGGCAGTGTTGCGTCCCCCGGGACAATCGGGACGCGCCCGTCCGCTTCTATTGCCTATAACTTTTCATGCAACCTATAATAAACCGTAGAATAAAATATTAAACTTGTAAATAATTGAATTCTAACCTCACTTCACGGAAGTAGCTTGTTTAGTTTAAAAGTAATTATAATACAACTATCAAATGTTGGTCGACAGCTTTGTTATATTGTTTTAAGAATCACTTGTACAATTTCCATTTAGTTTGTAATATTATGTACAGTGCAGAGGCGACTAAGGAAGGGTGAGGCATAGGTAGCAGGGTTCTTCTTAAAGCATTTTCAAAGCCTAACTGCGTTCGCCAATCCGCCTACCAAGCGTGGCAACTACTGGCAAAACCACCATTATGTTCACAAGTGGACAGTTAAAGGCTGATATGATGACGAAGATGATGATTATGTGCAGTGCTTTTTATTTATTATTAATTACAAATTATTTATCGTGACATCACTTGTGTGGAATTTGGACTGCTTACTGCTAAAACACATTTTTATCGCATATTGTTTGTGAATTTGTTTTCAAGTTAGGTTTTTATTAGAAATTAGCTTTTACCTGCGCCTTCGTCCGCGTGATCGGGATATATTTATTGATCAGGATTAAAAGTAGTCAATATTCTTTTCCGTTTCATATAGTACGTGTATACACGTATATTGATTGTTTAAACCGTTGAGACTCAATATGGTAACAAACAAATAAATTCATTTTCATATTTATAATATTAAATTCTGACATATAATCGCTATCATCTTTAGTAATAAGATAGCCTTAAAACTGTTGCATAATTAATGTGGGCGGTAAAGGAAATCAAGAATGGAAATAGGAAATATATGTATATCAGTAAAAGTAACTTAGAAGACTAGGGCCTTGAAGGGAAGCCAAAAGGAAAGAATACAGATGCGTGCCAATTTCGAATTTGGTCAATAATAATATAAAAACTATAAATTCAAATTCAAATGATCTTCATTGAAATAGACAGTTTTACAAAGCACTTTTAAATCGTAATTTTTTTAAGCCTACTGCAGGGTTCGATAAGTTGTTATCTGTTGAGAAGAGTCCACAAGAAACTTAATAGTTACTCTCTTAAATCTCTGTTAGCATTATGTGTATTTATTTAAATCTACTATGTTTAAAATTATATGGTCGTTAAAAAGCCCGTGCATGATCGATTAATACCATATAAATAATATATATGGCCTGTGCTAGACAATTAATAAGAAATATGTTAAATGTATAACGAAACACACTAACATTTGTAAAACATTATCTACGTTCCCTTTTTCGATAGTTGGTTACAAAAAAACTAAGTTGCTACGTAGGTGAATTATTTCCTAACAGATCACACTGCCACGTGACTCGAGTATCCAGCATCCGACGCACTATAACTAGCTGACGGAAACACGGACGTATTTCCCATGGGTACCATAGATACAATAGGATATGTTATACGTCGAAGAATGGAATGCACTGGTCTGAGTCACGCTGAGGGTGCAATCGGGAGGGGCCGTCTGCGATACGTCTGCTGGTCTATGGGGTTGTTTATAGATAAAAGGCAGATTACCTGAAAACACCATACAAAGAAGATACACCTACACAGCATAGACAATATAATTATGAAAACTTATAATTCTATGGATAACGGATTTCACCTAAATACCTAATTTATGAGGAATGGGATTGTCAGTAATGGACTCTCACAGCTTAATTACTAGCAATATATCCTATCAGGTTTATCTCCACGCGATTTCCTCTAGTAACCATCGTAATAAACTCTTATAGGATGCGTCATGCTCATGATAGTCTAATTGACCTGTTTCATTCTCATTCATCATCTCTCACTTGTACCTCGCCAGCGTTCACCATTACCGCAGGTGGGGTTACTATTCCATTTTCACTTATCAAAAAAGAGATACTTAATTTTGAATTCGGTTCGTACATGACCTAAGTTGCTAACGTCACTGAAAAAATAGAATTAATTGATATATGCTTATAAGTGCGTAATAAACTATGCTAGAATATTGTTAATTGCCTACATAAGTATTATAATACATTAGATATGCAAATGGACACCTAATAATAGTTTTTAAAAGTAATAAAAGTCATAACTATCAGTGCTTCTATTAGGTTTTACATAGTCGAAAAAAATACTACGGTTACTGCTACGCACAGTGCTACGAGATTACAAAACCACAGTATAACAAAACAGCACGTATCATGCAGTATGCTCATAGAGGCCGTTGACTTAAAAAATATAATATGAGCTGTCCCTTTCGCACAAGCATCGACACTCTTCCGTAAATCGAAATCAAAGCTCGTCGCTATCGAAGCGCAATGAAGTTTGTACGACATTCACTATCGACTGAAGTAAGTAGCAAGTTGGGCGCGTTCAGAACACATCTATTTCCACACTATCGTCTTTTTGTCATTATAACTGAAATATATAAAATAAATCAAATTAGAATACATTTTTTATTATATATCCTCAATTACATTTTTAAAGAAGTTTATTTATTTATATTTTTTCATTTGTAAATAAAAACGAAAACTTTAACAAAATACCCAAATGGAACGAACGTGTTGAACCGGAGCGGTAAGAAAAAAATGACAGCAACCTATGTGTGGAACGTGCCTGCATATGGCGGACGCTCAGTTTGTGTTTATGTCAATAAGGAACTGATTTGTAACATTTGCGCGGGTGTGGATTAATTAATTTATTAAGAATTATGTGTTAGTGAAAACTGTGTATTGTGTGTTTTTCGTGATAATGTTTTCTGTTATTGGACTTTTGGATGACCTCTTAACTAGAGTGTACTTTTAAGGGTATGTACTTAATTTATGTTTCTGTTTATAATTTAAGATTTATTGGCCTATATATTTGTTCAATAAATATAGTTTAATTAGAAGATGTAAAATTTTTATTAAAAAGTAAAATGGAACCTAACAATGTTGATTTTGAGTTAGCTAGATGAATAATTTACTTTCATAGGTTACCTATCGTTAGATGAAAAAATTACTATTAAACATCGACCTCCAAAAGCTCTGGACTTTTATTGAATTAATAACAGTTGCTAACAAGAAACATTCTCGCGGATCTATTTCTTATATAATAAAGAATTTAAACTGACTATTAATCCGTATATAAAATATTTATGAAGAGATTTCGTAACTGCAATGTCTTAAAAAGTTTACTATTCTCCAGTACTAGTTTATTACATAAAATACAACAAAAAAATATATTTAATCATTAAAGTTACTTGAAATATTAAATATGTATTTGTAATATGTATAAGTAATTATGTCAACAAGTTTTTCTAGTATGATTGATAATTTTTTACTTTTGAACATTAAGTAAATAGAAAATAATAAATAAAGTCGACATTTTAAAAAAGTGGTTGAAACTTTTTTTTTAGAATTAAAAAGCAGTAGTTTCTTCTTATTCATAACTTTTTTTAATGAGAAAAAACAATGAATGTTCTTAATTTAAATGTTTAAATGATTGCAAACCCAGCTGTACTGTTATTTGAAAGATACAAATACAAGTGAAAATAAACATTTTTATTATTTCAACATCTTGTTACAATATGTGAGTGGACCAAGTATGTTTATGAGGGACACATGTGTATATTATCTCAAACTATGATTCACATGCCATATGTGCTTATGATTTATCTCATAATATATTTTCATCAACATTTGTAATAGTACTATCATATTTAATTGTTGAATCTCTTAAGACTATGATTTATGCCTTGAAATAAATTTAAAAACTAGTTGCAAGTGTTATACTAAATGGTATTTTATTAAATAATACCTAACAGTTAATTTTGATTCCTAATATGTATAAGTTTAATTTATTGTTTGTAATTAAAAAATAAAAATATAACAGTAATATTTAAAATATAGTAATATTTTAAATCTTATACTTACTTAGTTTATTTACTTAAAAAAGGAACTTTAAAATAATCTTTCAACTTAAAATATTAAATTTATAATGTAAATTTAATTACAATATTATTTTAAAATTTATCAATAAATTTTTCACATATATTTAATTGTTGCTCTTTTAATTAAAGATGTGTCATTGATTGTCTTACATCTTATGGAAATTTTCAATTTTTTTGGTATATTATAATAAAAAGCTCATAAGAATAAAAACTTAAAAAAGGTCTTCACCAAGTTCCTTTAAGGAGCAGGTATACCTTAATAATATTTTAAATTTGAAAGTGAGTTTTAATTTCTACAATTTAGCACCCTAACCTCAGTATTTAGTTCGGAGAAAGACATAAGCTATATTTATTTTAGTCCATTAATATGTTAGCATTCATCTATGGATCATAGTTTCTGAATATTTTTAGTTATTATACCTACTTACTGAAAGTTTATTTACAAAACATTTATAAATTATTTAACATTAATAAAACTAGATATTTAAAAATAATTTATTCTTAAATAGCAATACACGGTTGGCAGTGGATTTATAACAGTTTATCTTTTACATAATTAGTAAAATATTTTATAATTACTATTATAAAATAAAATAAGTGTCTCTTGTAAATTAACATCCTTATTTATAAATACTACAACTTTCTATAAACCTATTTTAATTGTTATACTGCTTTGTTGCTTTTATTCAAACTGAGAATTTAGCACAAAGGAAAGAGACAAAACAGTTTAAGAGCTGAAATAGATTTATGAGAGGTTTGACATTTTTATAAATAAGGGGGTTGATCTGTAAAGTCAGAGATCAATGTTCATTGCTGCTGTTATGGTGAACAACTTGATGTGACAACATTTTTTTTTTAATATATTAGAAATCTATATGATGAAGTATCATAATTAATATAAGCTTTAAATTAACAAAAAATATTTATATATTTAATCAACAAATTACATTTCTTATAATATTACTATATATTCTTATTATGACGTTACTGTTTAGTATATATTATCATGTAGCTTTTTAGAGTAAACTGTTCTAATTTCAAAATATGTTTCAGTGTACAATGTGTTTAAGGTTAATTGTACACATAGTATATACTTACAGAGTAACAGTTAAAGACTTCCTAAGATAATAACTATATTAGACAACCATTATAATCCTATTATAAATGCCAAGTAAGTAAGCTACATAGAAGCTGCCTAGTTATATCTATTGAGTGCTACCTGCACTCAAAAATGAAAAGATGATATTTAAATTATTATACTTATATATTTGTGTAATTTTGAATTTTTTTGCTTATATTACAAAATAAGACAATAGCAACATACCATAATCAGCAAACTACATTTAATATTATATGATTGGAGTGGTAGGTATCATAATTTTTTGATATAATGATCCTACTCTCTAGACCATGTAAAGTAAATATAACTTGATATCTAAAGGTGCAGAGCAATACACTCAGTTGACCCCGTTGTTTAAAGAGAAAGATAATTATTCCACTACAGATAATATTGAGAATTGAATAGTTATTAATATTATAGAGAAATATCTTCTGTCTGTTGGTACTTGCCAACTTGTCTGACAAATTTGAATATATAGATCAGATATTAATATAAAATACATAAGTAAAGGACTCTGTCCTTGAGATATGATGCCAAGTTATATTTTTACGCTATTATGTAATATTCACTGAGAGTAACCAGTAAACGGTTAGATTATTGATATCTTTGGCATGTTGTTAAATCACAGTGTCGTCGACCTTATCACATCTATAGACACAATATGTAATATTATCATGTCTATGGCTTAGTAGGTATAAAATAATAAACCTTATTAATAAATGGCCTTGTGTCGAAATTTGTTTGTTTACATATTTTGAGTAATTCCTTCTATTTAATATTCAGTTTTGATAAGATGGATATAGATATTATCAATTGTATATTAAAGTAGTTATTATTATTATATTTAGGATATATAGTTATTTATTGGTTATTTGTTTGTATAAGTAGATAAAAATATAGGAGGTAATCGGGTTAATCTTTTTTTTAATAATGATTTAATTTTTTTATTCATAATAAAACAAACAGGTTACCAAAGAAGATATAAGATATAATCACTGATGCTTGTCACACTGCCTAATCCTATTAGGGTATTTGCATTTATTTTGATTCACTCATAAATTTACCTATCTCACCACACCACAGATTATTGCTTTTGGTACGTGGGCCAGTGCAACACACTATTCTATTACTACAAATATAATAATATTTTGATTTATATAAATCTAGCCATAAACACTAGACCTTTATATTGTTACCTTCCTACACTTCAATGTCGTAAGATTTCACGTTTAATTCTTTACGTTCACTCGATTCTCGATTGTTGTGATTGCGCGTACCGATGACGCAAGATTTTAAAAGAATTACATGGAATAGGTTTACATGGTGTGTATTCTGGCGGGAACAATTATTATTACAATATTAGTAATAGAATGTTAACTCCGCCTGCGCTGTCGATATACGAGTACGCTGGTGAGAAGTAAATTAAAAAAAAAAAAAATATGATAATGATATGTTAACGCCGTGTGCACTAGTGGGTTTTTTTTAATTGATAATGTAATGGTAACCCTACCCGCGCTATCGGTATACAACAGCGGGGCACTAGTGAAGGATGATAGGTGAGGATGAAACAGGTCAGTTAGCCCAACGTGACGAATTCAACAAACATTGTTTACGATGGTTTCCAGGGCGAACCACGTGGAGGTCGACCTAATAGGGCATATCGCTAGCAATGGGGCTGTCAAACTCCATTCCTAACCATCCCTTTCGCACTAGCGGGGTGTCAGTAGGGTGAGGATGAAATCAAATCAGTTGATCCACTTTGACGTATTTATTAGAAATAACCATGATAGTTTCTTAGGGGACAGCACTGAGGTCGATCTGACAGGGTGGTGAGATCACTAGTCCCGGTTTTTACAGTCCCTTAACTGAATAGATTTACATGGTATATTTTTCTGGCAATAACATTTATTATTACTTAAGTATTTTTTATGATATGTACATGGAGTGACAATCTCAAGAGTGTTGTAGGAAGTCATTGGACTGCAAGTAGTACAAGATCGTACTTTTTGGCGTAATAAGGGGAGATCTATGTACAGCAGAGGACAATACATAATTTAATTTATTATTTCATATCAGCCGTTAACTGTTTTCTGCTGAACATAGGTTTCTTCCATAAGGAGGGTTTTGCCAGTAGTTGCTCTGCTTTGCAGTTGGATTTGCAACCGCAGTTAGGATTTGGTAATGTTTTAAGAGGGACGCTGCTGCTCCCTCGACGTTTAAGTTTGCCTTAGTCGCCTCTTACGAAACCCACGTAAAAGGAAAGGGTGGCCCGTTTCAATAGTAAGACCACATGGCAATGGATAAGTTGTAATAAATGAAAGAAAGTATTTTTGGAAGATAAGTGGGCGATGGTTATTAGGCCGGCAATTGGGCGAATAATTATTATTCGTCCCGCAATCATAAATTACGTTAAGAAAGTTAGATTATGATTTTATTGGTTAGATTAGGTGGGATTTGTGACCATTGCGGAATATTTTTTTAGGGTTCCGTTGAATAATCGTAACAGCAATGTCTTATTCAATAATGTTTATTCGTTGAGTTGTAAATGGAATAATAACCTCGTTTGCGCTATCGATGTACACTAGCAGTATACCCGTGAATAATGATAGGTGAAAATTAAATTAGTTTCAAAACAGTTGATCTATCGTGACAAATTGAAAAGGAATTAATTTGATAGTCTTTAAGAGGGGCCGCGTGGAGCTCGACGTGATATTGCCAGCATTACTTTCTATGAAAAGAAGTGGCTTGAATTTCAC